TCCAGCGCCCCACCCTGACTCTGTTTCCAACACCCTGTCCTGGTGAAGAGGAATCTGTTCCCTAGCTCTTCAATTCTTCTGCCATTTCAAGAATATTAGATAAATGGGATTGCACGGCATATAACCTCTTGACATTGGCTTTTTTAAACTGGCATCATTACCTTGAGTTCCGTCCAAGTAGTCGTGTGCACCTTTCCCCTGCTGAGCAGCGTGGCGTGTTGTGGGTGGGCCACAGTTTCACACGCAGCCATTGCCGGCCACCCGGCTGCTGTCTAGTTTGGAGCTGTGCCTCACCTTCCCGTGACTGTCAATACGATGATCCCTGGTTACTGGCCCTCCCAAGCGGGACTGCTTGTAGAAATCAGTACTCCTTATTTTGGTTGGGTAGGAGGTGTCTGATGTCAATCTGACATTTATAATAAACACCGTCATCAAGTTACAAGAGTAAATCAAAATATGGGGCAGGGTGGAGTGTAAGATGCTCGAGAGGCTGAGATCAGTAGCTGTGTGAATACGGCAGGGCGGGCACCAGCCGTGAGCCGGGGCATCTAGCCTCTTTAAGCTGCTGCCCTTGGAGAGGAGCAGAGCCCACTCCCCCGTCCTCGGGAAAGGTAGGGTGATGGAAAGAGGGGCTACCCTTCTGTAGGAGCTCTGCGTCGTGCTGGGTACATGCCTGGGCTCTCATCTTCAGCCTTAGCCACTTAAAGCTACTTGGGGGAAAGACTGTGGAATAATCATAATGAAGAAATTTCACTCCAGATTTTTACTCCAAGTTCAAAGACGCTCTGTAAAAACTGTTGCTAAGGCAATTGAATAAAGAATTTCACAGTCGTAAGCGATAGCAGAAGACAATGAACATAATTGCATGTTTTACAACAGCCAACCTCAAAGCCAGACTTACCTGACACAGACATGTTTGTAATGATTTTGAAAGGTGACACAGACATCTTCAGGGATCTGGAGAGGAAACTAACCCCATCCTGGTTTACCGGCTTTGTGGGGTCGTCTTTCTGGTGAAAAAAACTGCAGCCAGCCTCACAGGGCGGGTGCTCTGTTACGGGGGCCCCTCCCACCGTCCCCACCACCTGGCCCCTGAGTGTCTCACATCAACACTGTTCTTTTGTGATGGGGCTGGTTTTCTTTCCCCAACCTATTGTGCTCAGCTCAAACCCTTGTGACCATCCAGTTTTGTTTGTTTGTTTTTTTTTTTTGAGACAGAGTCTCACTTTGTTGCCAGGCGCCAGGCTGGAGTGCAGTGGCACAATCTCAGCTCACTGCAGCCTCTGCCTCCTGGGTTCAAGCAATTCTCCTGCCTCAGCCTCCTAAGGAGCTGGGACTATAGGCACATGCTACTATGCCTGGCTAATTTTTGTATTTTTAGTAGAGATGGGATTTCGCCACACTGGCCAGGCTGGTCTCGAACTCTTAACCTTGGGTGACCCACCCGCCTCAGTCTCCCTAAGTGCTAGGAGTACAGGCGTGAGCCACTGAACCCTGTCCGGTTATCTTGTTTGTCCAGGAATTGGAGAATTTCTACATAGCACCACACATGTCTGTGCAAGAAACCCAGTGTCCAGGGTCGCTGGCTTTGTGCCAATCCAAACTAGAGTCTGACAAACCCAGCAAGAAATGTTCACGGCAGCTGCAAGGAAGCGTCTCAAATAGAAAGAGAAAGATGAACCACGGTCGGCTCTTCCCTTCCAGTGTGGAATCGATGGAAGCAGGCTCAGCACAGAGCCCTGGGGGCGTGAGGGGCTCGGCGGGGCACTGCCGGCTGCAGGTCTCTGCTCTGTTATTACCAGCGCTTCTGCCCGGCTCCTAATTGCTCTGGAGAGGGAATAATTTTCTCAGCTGTCATTGCTGGCCACATTTGGACTGCAGAGATGCTGAAATGGCAAGGGTAAATGGGGCAGAGACAGTGAAAAGCCATTTTCTATCTGGATCCCAAATAAAACCGCTAGACCAGTGCTTCCTCCCACACTCCTGCCTGGCCCCTCCACAGCCTCAGTGCCCTTCTGAGAGCTGCCTGCCCAGCAGGAGGCCGGGCTGGGACCAAGGACACTCAGTTCTGGGTAACCGTCTTTCCACAGCTCCTTGCTCAACCTCCGTAATGAAGGGAAAGGAAGAAGCAGAAGGAAAGCAGGGGCTGGGCATTGGAATCGGCTTTTCTAACTAAAAAACGTTTTCATTTATGTGAATGCGTGTGTGAATTTGAAGACATGTGGAAGGGGCTGTACATCCGTCAATGCCTGCTCCAAAAATCAGAACTAATGGACACAGACAGCATCGGATGTGCAGCCAGCATTCTTCCAGGGCCACCCCCCAGACAGGTGCAGCAGCCAGGATGGTCTTTGGGACTGGGACAGGCGAGCACGACAGCAGGTACCACGGGTCAGGGTGCACAGACAGGCTGGAGGAGGCAGCAAGGCACGGCAGCCACTTCCCCTCCCAGCGGCCGGGCAGGAGCCCAGTGGGCTTGCGCTGCTCAGAAGGGTCGGCCACTAGAAGGATCTCAATGGACTAGTCCCCTCCATACTGGAACAAGCAGGTGCCTCGGGCTTAATGCCGCGCCTTTCAGATAAAAACACACTGGTGAGCTGGGAGAGCTGGAGTCCCATGGACCTCAGAGACCCAGGTAACGAGGAGAGGGCTGCGCTGCACCGGGACACGTTTGCCAAAATGAGCCCTGGTTCCTCCCTACAGGCCGCGGGCAAGGAAGTGCCAATGCCAGGCCGGCTCGGTAGGCAGAAGAACCTTCTGGAATGCCCACCCGCAAGCTGCTGCTGGCATCCAGTCTGTGTCCTATTTTCCATGCAGTGCACGCATCCGCCAAGTACGATTTCCACTTGGAGCCCTGAGCCACCTCATTGCTTGCTCCACCTCCCCCCTCCCACACAGCTCACATGGAAATCACGCCTCCCATTCAGCAGCTGGAGTCCTCATGGATCACTCCGGGGCTCTCGGAAACCCCTTTACTTGAGCGTTGGTTTTACAGGAAGACCATGAAGCACCCCAGGAGCTGGAGCTCCTTCCCTCTGGACCCAGCGTTCCCTCTCAGCCTCACACGAGGAGACCTGGTCATTGAGCTGCTGCCCCAGCCTGAGCTCTGATCCCTGCTCCAGCCTGGCCTCACCCTGCAGGCAGCACACATGGGCTCAGAAAGGGGAACATGTGGGGTCAGAAAAGGGAAGCTGAGGGACCCTTCCCACAACACAGCCCCCAATAAACCTTTCAATGGAGGGCCTGAGAGGAGACAGAACATAAAAACCACTCCAATTTGATAAAATAGAGTGAAATCCAGGAAGACGCCCCTGAACTGGGAAACGACTCGCCCCCCTCCAGCCCCTGGCATGAGAGACCCTCTGTCCTGTCCCTTCACCCAGAAGCCCTAGGCATGGGGTTGGCAGCCCCCTCAAGGCCGACCCCTCAAACTCCCGCCCTGTTTCTTCTAAGTGTGCCAGTCAACATGCTTCTCACTGCAAGAAACAGACTCTTAAGCCAGTTCCAGAAGATCTGGGTTGCTGCAGAGACCGATCGGTGTGGGGAGGAGGCTCAGTGACACTGTTGCAAGGAGGCTGAGGGGTCTTTAGAAAAACCCCCAGGACCTAGGATGCCAGGAGCCTGGGTGGCCTGGGCTCTCTAGGTCTGCAGCACCCCCCCCCCCCACAGCCTCCACTGCCCTTGTGCTCAGGGCCTCTGCCTCTCAAGGTCTGCAGCCACCCCCCACCCCCGACAGCCTCCACTGCCCCCGTACTCGGGGCCCCTACCTCTCCAGGTCTGCAGTGCCACCCCCCCACAGCCTCCACTGCCCCCGTGCTCGGGGCCCCTGCCTCTCCAGGTCTACAGTGCCACCCCCCCACAGCCTCCACTGCCCCCGTGCTCGGGGCCCCTGCCTCTCCAGGTCTGCAGCCCCCCCGCACAGCCTCCACTGCCCCCGTGCTCGGGGCCCCCGTGCTCGGGGCCCCCGCCTGTGCCTTCTCCTCCTTTTTATCTCTCAGGGTCCCAGCGTGGCCAGCCCGGCATCCAATCCGTGGGAACGTGGCTCACTGACAGTCGCCACCAGCTCCACATCTCTCAGTAAAAGTTCCCACAAAAAAGTGTGATTGGGTACGGCCAGGGGGTCTTAGGGCAGCCCCCTGCTCCAGTCCCCTTGGCCGTGGGAACAGCGCAGGGTTAGCAGGAGGCAGGCTATGCACAGGACAGCTGGACGGCAGAGGTACTGGGTGCTGCCATGGGTGCAGAGTGGCTGCTGTGACCCCGATCTCCCTCCTGTGTCCCCACTTGGAAGGGGTGACCGAGAGGGTCATTTGTCAGCAAGGCCTCCACCCAGCCAACCTGACTGATGGGGCCATCACCTTGACCACAAGCTCGGTGGCTGGATACAACTGACCAGCACCCCGGGGTCCCTGTGCCCTCCTGCACTGCCTAACACGGTTGGGCCATGGCCGGTACCAGCCGTGAGCTGAGCCAGGAAGCCAGTGAGACCGCCTGCGCTGGTGACACGTAGGTCTCGCCCTTCTCCGGATTAACTGCTGGTCAACCCCAGCAAGGAGCAGGCCTGTCTTGCTGGGAGCACCGCTGGTGGCCCCTCCTCAGGCCTCCGTTCCTCCCTCCCCAAAAAACAGAGGGAACCGAGGAGCTGGGTGTTGGTTCTTCGCAGCTCCGGAAACCCTGCAGATGGTATGCTTGAATTCCCTGCCGGAATAACTGTGGGCGCCAGGCAAAGTGTGGCGAAGAGCTTTTCCAGGTACACTTGTTAACTCAGAGACCTCCTAGAGACTTGTGTGAAAGTCAGGCTTTGCAAGCAGCAGGGATAGGGAGATTCGCAGCAACTGGGAAATTGAGCTTTGTGTCCCAGTAGTGTTCTGTATAATTCTTTTCAAACCCGTCATCTCACTTACTGCTTCTCACAGCCCTGAGAGACAGGTGGAGCTGATGCCATCAACCCTATTTACAGAATGGTAAACTGAGGCTCCCACTGGTTATTCGCTTGCCCATAGGGTTGAAAGAGAAGCCATGGACAAAAGGAGTAACTGGGCCGGGCGCGGTGGCTCACGCCTGTAATCCCAGCATTTTGGGAGGCCAAGGCGGACGGATCACCAGGTCAAGAGATCAAGACCATCCTGGCCAACGTGGAGAAATCCCATCTCTACTAAAAATGCAAAAATTAGCAAGGTATGGTGGCACGCGCCTCTAGTGCCAGCTATTTGAGAGGCTGGGGCAGGAGAATCGCTTGAACCTAGGAGGCAGAGGTTGGGTGAGCCAAGATCGCACCACTGCACTCCAGCCTGGGCAATAGGGCAAGACTCATCTCAAAAAAAAAAAAAAAAAAAAAGTAAATGGTTAGCCACAGGGCTTCCTGTTCTCAAATGAACAGCTCCTTCTATTACAGAGTGTCTAGAAGGAGGCCTGCTTGGGTATAGACATTAAAGACCCGGGGGGGTCAGTGTATGCTGTGGTCAAGCGTGTGTGGTCCGGAGCCGGCGGCCCAGGTGCAGTCCTGATGTGCACTTCTGGCTGGGTGCATGGGAGTCCCGTGCACCTCTGTGTGCAAGCATCTGAGAGTAGTGCTTGCATGTGGTTGCCGCCTGGTCAGTGTCAGCCTTCTCTGATGCAGGCAGCACGAGGACTCCCAGACTGTGAAGTTCCTACTGGCGTTCCCAGGTCTCAGCTGAGTCTGAAGAGGCGTCAGCTTCCGGCGGTGGAGCCACCCTCTGTGTCATTTGTTTCTCTTGTCTTGCTTTAATATCACACACCTGCCAGTCAAGCCACATTCGAAAGGGTTTTCGGGGACTCGCCGTGCGTGCTCTTAAACTCCAGCCCTGACGTGCCTGCAAGCTGGAAGCCAACCTAAAACCTTCATTTTCCCCTTAATCCTGCTGCCTCTGCATCTCATTTTCAAAGTTCATTCTATCAGCTTTGTTTGCGCCGTTTGTTTCTGGATAAAGGATTTGCGAAATTATTTGGCACGTGGACAGAAAGCCCTACAGCCTCCTGACGAGGCAGCCTGGAAGTCCTCCCGTGGTCTGAAGCGGCCGCGGGGCTGGCCTCCCACAGTCAGGGGCAGCATCAGGCTGGTGCGTCTCCTGACGCCGGCCGAGAACATGGCTGTCCCAGCCCACATTCCTAGAGCTCACACGTCACCTCATGCCCAGACTCTCGTCCGTTTTGGCACCGCTAGAGGCTAATTCGCAACCACAAAAGCCAAAGTCATGACTCTTGTCCAGATCTCGGATGACTGTGTCACCCATTTCTACTGAACTGATGAACCAAATGGGAACTGGGAAGAAGGGGCCACCAGTTCAGAAGAGAAATCCAGGAACCCTGCGTCTACAAGGAGTGAAGGACTGTCGAAAGGGACTTCCAAGCCCATTCTCCACTGGAGACAGCCGTGTCACTTTTGTGCTTGTCCAGCAGTCACATTTCCTGACAGCCTCCCCACCTTTTGTCCAACATAATTACCACGGGAGATTATTCTGGATGGCAGAATAAGGCTGGTCCCCGGGTGTGGCTGGCTTGCCTGTTTGCACAGGGTTAGCAAGAGTGCCACCGTGCCATATGGGTCCTTTTCAGTTTGTTTTGCTGGAAGACCTCACAGTTACACTTTAAACGCCTCTGTTGCCATGCCTGAGGCTAGGAAGCCGAGCACAAAAACCCCTTCAGATTTCACCTGCAGGACATACATTCCATGAACCCCTCCCTTCGCAAGGCCCCCATGATATTCCAAAACCCTGGCCTGTCAGAGTAGAGCCTCTTTTTCCCATCTTCGGGGCTACACCCCTGAGAGTCCCTCCACTCCCCCAGGAGACTTTGTGAGCGTGGACACTGCACAGTTACCTTAGAAGCGGTCACAGCCCAGCACATGAGCATCGTTCTCACACAGGTCTCTGAGACCCAGCCTTGGTTGCATAAACCTTCCCCACTTCTATCCTGGCAGGAAGGAGGACAGATCCTTACGGAACCTTGGAGGTAACTATATTGCCACAATATGTAAGCCTTCATAAAAGTGAATTTGGGGAGGAGGGAGAGCAGATGGTAAAAAATCAGATATCACTTTAAAATTATTCATTTCACTCACGCCTATAATTCTAGCACTTTGGGAGGCCGAAGCAGGAGGATCACTTAGGGTCAGGAGTTTGAAACCAGCCTGGCCAACATGGTGGAACCCCCTCTCAACCAAAAATACACAGAACTAGCTGGGCATGGTGATGGGTGCCTGCAAGCCCCTCTGCTTGGGAGGCTGAGGCAGGAGAGTTGTTTGAACCCCTGAGGCGGAGGTTACAGTGAGCCGAGATCGCACCACCGCATTCCAACCTGGGCCACAGATGGAGAGTCCGTCTGAAAACGAAAAACAAATTATTCATTTCAGTTTACAAAAAATCTAGGTCATTAAAGGTAGCTGATGGCTTAAGAAGACAGGGAAGGGGCTTCCTTACAGAGCCAGAAAGTCCAACCGTACAACTACATGCAGGAAGCCGGAAAGTCAAGGGTGCCTCACTCATTCCACTCGGTCCTCCGAAACAGATTCTCACTGGGTCCTGGGCTGCAGCCTCACGAAGCCGCTGTTCCTCCACTGGAAAGAGCTCTGGCAGCCCTGGGCAGTCCACTGGCAGGGTCTGAATCATCTGAGTGAAGCCATCAGAAGCTTCCCCTGGAGTCTGCGCTTGGGGGTCAGTCACTGGAGGTGCCTACTGCGGTCCTTTTCCATGGGGCTCAAAGTGTCTGCCTGGAACCGAAAGCTCCATCTCCAGCCTGGTGCAGAGGCTTCGGGAGCACTGGAGTCAAAGCGTCTGTAGATGACAGCCAGCCCTTTTTTGGCCCATTTTACAGCAGAGGAAATGTGGGTTTGAAGAAGTTGAGTTGAGGGTCCCAGGAGTGAGAGGCAGTCAGGGATCCCTCGGGACCACCTGGCCCCAGGCTCCTGAGGTGGGGAAGCCCCAGGCCGGTGAGCCGGTGCCCTTGGCAAAGCCACTTCCCTCCTGAGTAAAGTCAGATGAGCCTCCCCAGTCCCATCCGTACTCACCCTCCCCTCGCCTTGTGAGGGCCTGCTGGTGGGTGCAGCCCCTTCAAGCCCCCCCAAGAAGCCAGGATTTGAGTCGGTCTTGCCAAATGTGTCTTGAGAGAATTTAACTCCAAGATCATCCCCTGTGGACGCCGGGGGGCTGGGACAGTTTGTGGTGCCCTTCCTGCCCATGGGGAAAAGCGCCCAGTGGGGCGGGTTGGGGGGAGGACTTTAGAAAGGGGTCATTTGCTGTGGCCACCCAGGTTGGAGCACAGGGACCACAGGGCCCCCGCCTCCTGTAGGACCTCCCCTCTCATCTAAGGGAGATACCCTAGAAACACATCTTTGAGAAGTGGCTTCTAATCCAAGAAACCCGGTAGAAGTTACCTGCAGATTCCCGGGGCCCAACCCAGACCCTCTGCATGGGAATCCCTGGGCTGGGCCAGATGCACGCTTTGAGGAACACCAACCTCCTTAGCAGCCCCCTTGCAAACCACCTCTGGCTTCTCCAGAAGCTCCAGATCCAGAATGTTCCAAGAAAGAGCCCTTCTTGCTTTCCTCCTCTTCCACCCCTGCGCTCTGCAGACTGAGGTCTGACCCCAAAGTAAGCCTGCCACACCAGGCGGAAGTGGGTTACACACGGGTCCATGTGGAAACCACTTTCTATCCCGTCTTGGTGGGAAAATGGCCAGGAACCCAGCCCAGGCCCTGCCGTGCCACAACTCCACGGTCATAATGCAGGGCATAACCCATGGCGTGGACTGTGACTGGGGCTGAGGATGGTGCCGTGGTAGAAGCGAGAGCCTGGCACCCGGCCAAGTGCAGGACTCCCCAGCCGTGGGGTTGGGAGAAGCAGCCTCTGTGCTCGAGCCTGGGAACCAGGACATGGGAGGAGAAGCACATCCCAGAGGAGGGGGCTCTGGGAGTAGCCGGCAGTTGTGCAAAGGAAAACGTGCAGGGAACGGCGAGGTCAAAGCTGGGACACGGAAGGGGCTCCTGTGCCCTTGCACGTGCAGCCAGAGCCAGCTGTGTAGGCAGCCAGGGATACGGCAGGTGTCATAGACCATGCCCACAATGCCACAGGCCACCGCGACCCACCATCACCCTGGGGCAGGTGCCAGCGGGGACCACCCACCATCACCCTGGGGCAGGTGCCAGCGGGGACCACCCATCATCACCCTGGGGCAGGTGCCAGCGGGGATAACGGGCAAGGGGAGGTCCCGTTTACTGCCTTACTGTTGCCAGTTCAGCAGCCCACAGGAAATGGTGTTAGTCACCGAAAAAAAAAATCTGTTTTCTATATTTCACTGTTTCCAAGTAAAGAAAAAAGAAAACTAATCTTAGCTTTAAAAAAAAATTGGTGCACTGGGCACCAAAACATAACCGTCTCCCTCGGCCTGCGTTTCCCCCACACCAGGGACTGTGCTGGAAAGGAGAGCTGTGTTGGCAGCCCCCATCCGGGGAAGCTGTCCAGGGAGGCATCCACTCGAGGAAGGCGGGGCCTCGGCGGGTCTGTTCTGCCTCTGGCCAGCCCTGGAGAAGCCCCACCCTCGCCAAACTGGAATGCCCTCCCCGAGGGCCGAGACTCATGGCCCAGACCCCCTGGACAAAAGATGCAGATGCCAACCGCTGCCCGGGTGGCACTTGGGCGTGAGTGCTCCCATCCCATGCATAGGTCGTGTTTCTCCATGGGCTCCTGGGGTCCCCGGTGGTCCTCCGCGGGCTCCTGGGGTCCCCAGTGGTTCTCCGCGGGCTCCTGGGGTCCCCGGTGGTCCTCTCGTTCAGCCTCAGTCCCTCAGTTCCCAATACTGAAAGGCGGTCTTTTTATTTTTTTAAGTCAACGAACTTGAAATTTATTTACAAAACGGCCCCCATGGGATACTTGAAGGCCCAGTGCCGGGCGACAGTGTTGAACCCAAGTGGTCAGTCCTGCCTGGCCCCTTCCAAGGGATATGCCTTCGCGTAACCACGTCCCCGACAGGCATGTGGCCAAGGGGTGGGGGCGGTCACTGTATTTTTTACAACTCTTTCCACTGAACGAAACAATGACATTTCACCACCCGTAGATATCAACCAGATGAAAAGATGTGCCTGTCATATGGCAATGCCGAGGGTTATGATTTTTCTTTGCGAAACGAACCTTCCGGTTGGAGCCAAGCACGTGGCATCTGATGCCTCCAGGGAAACCCGCGCCCCGCCGCCCCTCACCGCCGCTTCTGTTCTGCAGGTGATCTTCAGCAAGTACTGCAACTCCAGCGACATCATGGACCTGTTCTGCATCGCCACCGGCCTGCCTCGGTGAGTGTGCGCTGCGGGGGTTCTGCCCGGAGACACCCTCCTTGCCTTTCCGGGATGCCTGGGGGGGATGGAAAGAGGCGCAGGAGGGCCTGAGGGACCCACCTTCTACACGGGGCTCTTTCAAATCAATGTGCAGGATCCCCAAGGGTGCCCAGCCACCATCCGGGCTTCTCTACCTGCACAGGTGATGGCTTTGTCCACGTTGAGGAAACCGTGGGGCTGAATTGAACAGAACTGCCCTCTTAAGAGTGTGGGTTTTTCGGCTGAGCGCCGTGCCTCATGCCTATAATCTCAGCACTTTGGGAGGGCGAGGTGGGTGGATCACCTGAGGTCAGGAGTTCAAGACCACTCTGGCCAACATGGGAGAAACCTTGTCTGGTCAAGGTGCCTCACTCCTGTAATCCCAACACTTTGGGAGGGTGAGGCGGGCAGATCATGAGATCAGGAGATCGAGACTGTCCTGGCTAACAGGGTGACACCCCGTCTCTACTAAAAATACAAAAAATTAGCCAGGCATGGTGACAGGTGCCTGTAATCCCAGCTACTTGAGAGGCTGATGAGGCAGGAGGAATCGCTTGAACCCAGGAGGCAGAGGTTGCAGTGAGCCGAGATCGCGCCACTGCACTCCAGCCTGGGTGACAGACTGAGACTCTGTCTCAAAATAATAATAATACAAAAATTAGCCTGGTGTGGTCATGGGTACTTGTAATCCCTGCTACTTGGGAGGCTGAGGCAGGAGGATGGTTTGAACCCTGGAGGCAGAGGTTGCAGTGAGCCGAGATTGCGCCATGGCACTCTAGCCTAGGCAACAGAGCAAGATTCTGCCTCAAAAAAAAAAAAAGAAAGAAAGAAAAGCAAAAGTATGCTTTTTTCTTCCCCTCTCACTTCTTCATTCACTTTTGGAGAAAGCAGGGGGCTTGTGTATGGATTTGGTCCCCAGCCCCACCTCACACCATAGGTCCCTTTCCTACCCGGGGGCTTGACCCAGATCAACACTGGGCGAAAGGCCGACTTCAGAAATGGGTTTGAAAAGACCAGTGGCCTTCCCGCCCTCAGAGTCCCCCAGGACTTAATGTCCTAAATCAACCATGTGTTCAAGCAAGCGAATTTTCTAGTTATCAGCACCAAGCCTTCTAATTATAAAGGGTGAGCAGGCGTAGCTTTGGCTCAAGGACTAACTTTAAACTCGGTATAGAAGTAGAGAAGGGCAATTGAAGTTTTCACAATTGAGGGTGAGAAAAGGGTGACCCAGGAGACGAAATGACCTGTCTGAAAGTGCAGCAAGTGGCAGTTTGTAGCAGCAAAAATAGTCCACGGTCTGGGGCATGTTTGGGCAGCATATATGAAGCACTGCACCAATAGATAGATATATTCACATGATTCTGTATAGTGGCCCTGGGATTCGAGTATCACCTCCATCGCGCAGATTTTAACAATTCACAACTGAAGATCAGAGGGTAACTTGGTCGAGGTAACACAGCTTGCAAGAGGCCCCGAAGATGTGAGGCTGGAAGAAGACTCACCCTAACCGTTTAAAACCGTTTTGTAGGAGAGAGCTGTGCGGTTCAGATGGACTCCAAGGTGCTGGAAGTAGAAAGACAACTATGAATTCGTCATCTGCTGATATAAATGTTAGTTGCTATTTTACCACAGTTTTTTTTAAAGAGTCTCCCAACTCAGTAAAGTCGACTTGCTCCAGTTCCGTTTTCAAGTATTTCAGCGTCTACACCCACTTAGGATTACACACAGCTGTTTAATTCCATTTACAAACGGAGTCGCAACTCCCTGGGGATGGCCTCCCACCCTTTCCACCCCACCATGCCTTGGCCAGGCTGGGCCCGGGACTGTCCTGGTTGTCTCAGGGCCCTGGCCCCAGGTGCACATCAGGTGCACGTCCCAGAGCTACGGGCAGAAACAGGCTTGGGTGTGTTTTCCAGGAACACGACCATCTCCCTGCTGACCACCGACGACGCCATGGTCTCCATCGACCCCACCATGCCCGCGAATTCAGAACGGTAAGAGGCTCCGGCCGTGCTCCTCCGCGTGTGTGTGGCACTTCTGTCCATGACATGGAGGCTTTCTGTGGTTTTGTAAATGTGCTACTGCAGAAAGGTGTGAACTGACAGCAGAGATGGAGGGCGAGGGGAGGAGCGAGTGCAAAGGAGGCTGAGGCTGGACTCGTCGTGTTCTCCTGCAGAAGAGCTGGGCATGTTCCAAGATCACAATTGCAGCCACGGCTCTGCACCCGCTTCTCAGCAGGAGGAGGCATTGTACAGAGGGGAAACTGAGGCACGGGAGGGTGCACCGAGAGCTGCAGAGCCAGGCCCCAGGACCCCCATGTTAGCCCCTGGAAGGGCTGCAGGAGGTTCCTGGCAGAGCTCCTGGGGACCCTTCCTGTGTAGCCACTCGGGGCCGGTCTCTGTGTTCATGAAGTTACGCCTGCTGGAGATTGTCTGCACAGAGGGGCGGGGATGAGGGAGGCCCAGGGTATTCAGGAGGAGAGGGCCGGTGAAACGTCTCCGTGATGTCTGTGAACCAGGTCAGGCTGGCGGTGTGTGGCCCAGGGAAGACCAAGATCAGGAACCCTCAGGTCAGTGACCTGCCCCTGTGCCGGGGGACTGGGGAGGCCCCAGCAGCCTCCTCTGCTCTTCGTGGTTGGGCAAGGTGGAACTTAGATTTCTTCATGAGGCGAGGGAGCTGGTGAGCCGGGGGAGGGGGTGTGTGACCTCAGGACCCCTCTCTGGTGTCCTCTGTTCCTCCCAGATTGGGGCTCACTGAGCCTCCAAGGGACTCAGTAGACGTGATGGGACACTTGTCAGTCTGGTCATCAGGGTGTCCTGCCTGACTGACCCACGGCCAACTCTGAGCTCACAGGAGAAAGCACATGTCAGGTAGACCCTTGTGTCAGCCAGGTCCCAGTGCACACAGCCAGCGCTGTCCCCCTCAGCCAGGTCCCAGTGCACATGGCCAGCGCTGTCCCCCTCAGCCAGGTCCCAGTGCACACGGCCAGCGCCGTCCCCCTCAGCGAGGTCACAGTGGATGCGGCCAGTGCAGTCCCCCTCAGTGAGGTCCCAGTGCACACGGCCAGCGCCGTCCCCCTCAGTGAGATCTCAGTGGACATGGCCAGCACTGTCCCCCTCAGCAAGGTCTCAATGGACATGGCCAGCGGTGTCCCCCTCAGCAAGGTCTCAGTGGACATGGCCAGCGGTATTCCCCTCAGCAAGGTCTCAGTGGACATGGCCAGCGGTGTCCCCCTCAGCAAGGCTCCAGTGGACATGGCCAGCACTGTCCCCCTTAGCGAGGTCACAGTAGATGTGGCCAGCACTGTCCCCCTCAGCGAGGTCTCAGTGGACATGGCCAGCACTGTCCCCCTCAGTGAGACTCCAGTGGACATGGCCAGAGCTATCCTGGTCAGCCATCCTCCCTGCCACTTTGAGGCCTCAGCCAGGTTCCTCCCGTCTCCCCGTCGGGCCCCAGTCGGCACGCCCGTCTCCGGCCCCACACCCTCTGGCTCTCACTCTTGGCTTCCAGACTCCCTGAAACGTGCAATGCTAATTGGCTCCCCAGAGACTCCAGTGAGCATTATATCAGCCTCAGCACCAGCTCCAGCCCTGGGGTCTCACTCAGAAGTGAAGTGACTGGGTGACCCATCCTCCTGACACCCACAAGACCAAAATGATCTCTCCGAGGGGATTTCACGGAAACCAGTACCTTGTCCATGCCAGCTGGGGCTCTGAGAGAAACTGCTTTGTTTTTCTGAACCCAGTTGAAACAGCATGCAGAGACAGTTAAACTGGGTGGGAAATAGGGGAAGCCTACCCTGACCTCCTAATTCTCCAGCCCCAGGTGTCTTATTAACAAGAGAAAGTACCACACACATCAGACAAAAGCCCTCCTGAGCCCCAAAGCCCAAATGTCTGGAAGCTCTCTGCTAAGATGCCAGACTGCATGCCTCTCTGATAGAGACGGAGACAGACAAGGTGCCATGATATGGACACGGTGGTGGACACAGACAGCAGAGCAGTGCCGATGGAGTCGGAGATGGAGCTGATGAGGACAGAGATAGAGACAGATGCACAGGTGTCACTCTACCAGGTGCAGGTGACACAGACACGGATCGAGACACCAACGGGATGTGCTCTAGATAATGAGGCTCTGGATTTAGAAGAAGCTGCGGAGACCCCAGCTGTGATTGTGGGCGTGAATTTGGCAGACATGGTGGGAGGAGAGAACAGACTCTCCCCTCTCATTACAAACTGGTCGTGGCTGTATTTGTGCCCTGGGCTGTTGCCTACATCCTCCTGCACCCCTGTCTCCTCTGTACCTTCTGCCTTTCCCTCTGCCACCCCTAGGTCCAGGCCTTACTGAGCTCTGACCTCCCTGCCTCCAGCCTGACTCTCCCACACGACTGCCGGGTTCAACCTGGTAGGACACCTTCTTCTCCATGGTGGCCTCCCAATCTGGGCCCTGCCAACCTCTGCCCACCAATTCCTCCAGCTTATCCCCTGTCCCCCTGGATCCTGCTTTCCCAGTTGTACAGAACCAACTTCTGCTCAGCCCCTAGGTGCCAGTGCAGTTGCTTACCTTAAGCACCATCCACAGTCACCCAGCCCTCGCCATCACCATCCACAGTCACCAGCCTTCACCATCACCATCCTCAGTCACCAGCCCTTACCATCACCATCCACAGTCACCAGCACTCACCATCACCATCCTCAGTCACCAGCCCTCACCATCACCATCCACAGTCACCCAGCCTTCACCATCACTATCCATAGTCACCAGCCCTCACCATCACCATCCTCAGTCACCCAGCCCTCACCATCACCATCCTCAGTCACCCAGCCTTCACCATCACCATCCACAGTCACCCAGCCCTCACCATCACCATCCTCAGTCACCCAGCCTTCACCATCACCATCCACAGTCACCAGCCCTCACCATCACCATCCACAGTCACCCAGCCCTCACCATCACCATCCACAGTCACCCAGCCCTCACCATCACCATCCATAGTCACCCAGCCCTCACCATCACCATCCTCAGTCACCCAGCCTTCACCTTCACCATCCAGTCACCAGCCCTCACCATCACCATCCACAGTCACCAGCCCTCACCATCACCATCCACAGTCACCAGCCCTCACCATCACCATCCACAGTCACCCCGCCCTCACCATCACCATCCATAGTCACCCAGCCCTCACTATCACCATCCACAGTCACCCAGCCCTCACCATCACCATCCACAGTCACCCAGCCCTCACCATCACTATCCATGGTCACCCAGTCCTCACCATCACCATCCTCAGTCACCAGCCCTCGCCATCACCATCCACAGTCACCAGCCCTCACCATCACCATCCACAGTCACCCAGCCCTCACCATCACCATCCACAGTCACCAGCCCCATCACTATGACCATCCAAAGTCACCAGCCCTCACCATCACCATCCACAGTCACCAGCCCTCACCATCACCATCCACAGTCACCAGCCCTCACCATCACCATCCACAGTCACCCAGCCCTCACCATCACCATCCACAGTCGCCCAGCCCTCACCATCACCATCCTCAGTCACCAGCCCCATCACTATGACCATCCAAAGTCACCCAGCCCCATCAGTGTAATTCACTGCCCCAGTTTTCCTGCAGGTGCCTGAGCTCCAGCAGAGAATGCCTGAGAGAGAGACACGCCCGTCCATTTGGGCTTTTGAGCATCCTCAGCACACACATCTGTGCTTATTCCAACCACTCCCTGTGAACTAGTTCAGCTGAAGAGTGGCTTTCCCCCCGGCTGCAGATTGCAACCACCCAGAAATCTTTAGAAAGGTACCGCTTGATGCCCAGACACCTCCAATTAAGTCCAAATGTTTATGAGATTTTTTTTTTCTGATACGGGGTCTCGCTCTGGCACCCAGGCTGGAGTATAGTGGCGTGATCTCGGCTCACTGCCGCCTCCACCTCCCAGGTTCAAGCGACTCTCTGGCCTTAGCCTTCTGAGTAGCTGGGATTATAGGCATGCACCACCATGCCCGGCTAGCTTTTGTATTTCTAGTAGTGACGGGGTTTCACCATGTTGGTCAGGCTGGTCTTGAACTCCTGACCTCAGGGTCCACCTGCCTCGGCCTCCCAAAGTTCTGCGGTTACAGGCGTGAGCCACTGTGCACGAGACTTTTTAGAAAGCTCTGCGAGTTATTCCAGCACTCAGCCTGGGGACGAACCGCTGGTGTAAGGCCTGGAAAACCTGAGAAACCGCTCTTGACCCAGCCCTCTGGTGACCAGAAACTCATGTCTGCCAGACCCAGGGCCTCCCCTCACTGACGCATGCTGGGTAACTGTTTCTTCCTGGCAGACGGCAGCCCTCTCCTCTAGCTCAGAAGCCACATCAGTGGCCGCTTGCCTGGTTGGGTCGTGTCTCTCTCTAACTTCCTCTGCTTCTGCAGACACCTGCAGTGACTTGGTGTGGGCTTGGTCCCCTCATTGTTCCCCAGCCTCAGGGCAGGAACCATGTCTTTGGAGGGGCTTCCCTGCAGGTCGCTGGTTGCATCGAGCATACGTGGATGCTTCCCAGTTTCATAGCCACAGGGAGGGCGTTTCATGAAATCTCCAAATTCCAAGGGCTCTTGAGAGACCAACTCCATCCTGATCAGAAGGGGTGATCCCGGTTGCCTGGTCTCTTAGAGCTTAAAACTCTAACTCCTTCTCGGCTTCTCATTCCAAACCTAAGTGTGCCATTGGATCATTCTTTCAAAACACTTCTTGCCTTAATGCCACCCTTTAGATTTTGGCAGCCGGCCCCAGTGCGGACCACGTCCCGTGGGTGGGCCTCCCGGTTTCCACCTCCTGTTACCCCTCACAGTTATCTCCCCCTGGAGTCCTGCTACCTTCCAGAATAATAGGCTCCAAACCCTCTTCCCTCCCATCACTCCCAGCATGGAGTCCTCCAGTGGCCCGTTAGCCACAGGACACTATCCAGCCCCCCGCATTGGGATGTCTGCCCCAATCCACCATAATGTGCTTGTCTCCAATCTGCTGAGCTACATGAGTGCCCACCCCAGCCCAGTGGGACGCTCCCCTTCTGCACACCTCCAAGCACCTTTCCCCTCTGCACATTGCCAGGCTTCCCACCCTCCCCCAAATCCAAAGGCCCCTCCCGTGGCTGGGGATCCGCTGACGGCTGCCTAGCCCTTCCTGTGCTCCTGGACATTTGGTGCAATCTGGAGGATGCTCAAGCTGGCATTTGAAATAACGTGGAACACGTGTACCTCCTGGAACAATAGGCTGAGGCTTCCACTCGCTTTTGGGGCTGGCAGGAAAGATAATTGATGACAAAACAACCTAACGACCAACAAATATAAAAAGCCGTGGCCCAACTGAGATCCAGCAAGGCTCCGGCATTCCTCCTTGGAGCAGCCCTGAGCTGTCTGGAGTCATTCGCCTTTCCAGTCCAGGAGCCTTCCGGAGACGCTGACGTCCGGCTAACATGGGCGTTGCTTCGTGACAACCCTGCCCCTTCCATTGCCCGGTCACTGCTGCTTCAAGATGCGGTGGAAGAATGTCAGACGCCTCAGTCACGTGAGTGAGAGTGGGGCGCATGGCGACACACACGCAGAGGGGAGAGGGCCAAAGGCGGTGGCATGTGACACACACCATTGCCCCTTTTGTCTCCGGTTTCCGCCAGGTTGTGCGGCGGGCAGCTCTCCTCCAGATGAGCCCCGTGCTTGCAAGACCAGTGTCGTCGGCCACTCGGCTTAGAGAAGAGCTCTCTACATTCCAGAGTGGCTCCAGGCCCCTCCTCCGCCTCTTAAATGTTTCTAAAAGAGGTTAGAGCCCAGGCAGTTAGACCTTAGCAAAAGACAGATACAGTAGAAGCCCAAGGCAAGCTTATCCCTTCCGAAGAGGGAGGGCTTCCTGTGTTGATTCACTGTTAATGAACATGATGAAGATTCAGCTCCACTGAGACTGAGCCAAGAGGTGACTCATCCATGGGACCAACATAACTGGTCCTGAGAAACCAAAGCACTCAGCATCTGGGAGCCAGACTGATCTTGAGTGGCCAAGAGAGCCGGGAAGGCTCCTGCAGCCTCCTGGAGCATCACAGAGGCTCCCTGTCCATCCGCTCTTTTCTCTGTTGCTGATGTGATGGTTCCCACCCTCAGCTCACCAGACTCCACGGAGAGGCGGCCTCTGAATACGCTGAATGGGCTTGAAGGGGGCTGGGCTCCATTTGGGTGGATGAGCAGGCCCAGCGCCCCTGTACGATGGGAGGGCATCTTGGCAAGCCTGTCTTTGTGTCAAGTCACCAGGGCATCTCCCTCTGAATCGCCTGCATAGGAGAAGTTGCTGGACACCCGTCTGGGCTCTGTCCCCGCCGGCACCATGTGGAATCCATGCTGTTCTCCCTCCAGCCCTCGCCCCGCCTCCTGGAGCCCTTCTCTGCTCCTGGCCACTTACCCACCCTGATTTTCTAGGGACAAGGGGCAGGGGAAGGAGGAGAAGAAAGAGTCCTTGCTGCCCTTCAGAGGAGGCACAGAAGAAGAAAGACTGAGAGGAATGGGGAGCCAGGAATGGGAGGACGGATGGGACAGCCCCTTTCTGCTGCCCACACGGGTCCTGGCTTCCTCTCCACCCACTGCCCCATCTCAAAGGCTGCTCATGGCAGGGGCCAGAAAGACACTGAGAAGAGGAAGGAAGGAGGATCCAAGAGGAGGCCGGCACACCTGGCTTCTCTGCTGTCCGCCCTCCACTCTGTCCTCCCAGCCCAGACCCCTCCTAGGCAACCCTGGCATGGGTCCTCGCTGGCCACACTGAGGCCGTTGGCAAAGCACCTGGCCTCTCTATGCCTTGGACTCTGGGTCTGTAAGGCAGTGAGGCTAAGGTTCCTGGAAGAGCCAGGCACGGTGGGCCTGCCCAGCTGAGCACAGGCATCCGGGGCTGGAGGGGCCCCAGTCCCGATGCCCTCTCCACCTGGGAGCCTAGAGGACGCTGCCCTATACTTAGGGCCATGCTTCAAGCCCAGCACTTCTTATGACCGAGTCTCTGGGGAAAAATGAGCCCTCTAGTGCCAAATAACCCACCACTAAAAGACCTTTCCAGGCAGGGCCTCTCATGAGCCCCACCAGTGACATGGTGGGAGATGAGAGGGTGTAGGCTCACTCATTGATGTTCTGTGTGAACGGGGTCATTTGTAGGGTGAGGTCCCTCTAATCTCCAACACGTAGGCTCAGCTGGCAAGTCCACAGGGCCCAGCTCTCCCAGGAACCTCAGCCTCACCGCCCTACAGACAGGGCCCAAAGTTCAGGGAGGTCAGTGCCACACAGGTTTTATTTTTTCACTTTATTGGTGTTTAAAATTGTAAAGATTTTCCATGTTGCCCGTAACCATCGAACCACACGTATTGCCCCCAATTAATCACCGTTAACAGCTCGGCGTGTGTACCCTCCGTATGCACCGTGCTCCGTATTCATTTCCTCCAGAAATGAGCTCGTTCTCTATGTATCAGTCCGTGACCTGTTTTTACATAGTGAGGAGTCATGGGCACCCCACCAGGTCAATACCTGCACCCTTGTCTTCATCTTCTCAACAGCTGCCTGACACCCCAGTGTCTCAGTCTGTCTGAACTTAAACAGCTAGACATTGACGCCTCACAGTCTGGAGGCCGAAGTTCAAGATAAGCATGTGGGCAGGTTCTGTTCCTGGGGAGGCCTCTCTTCCTGGCTTGCAGACGGCTGCCTTCTGGCTCTCATGTGGCAGAGCAAGCGACAGCTCTGGTGCCTTCACCCTTGTAAGGGCACTAATCCCATCATGTGGGCCCCACCCTCATGAACTCCTTCAAACCTAATCACCTCCCAAGGCCCCGCCTCCCAATCTTATCCCACTGGGGATGAGGACTTCATTATATGAATCTGGGGTTGGGGGGTGCCTCAACATTCAGACCCTAGCACCATGGGACCACTAACGTGTCATCCTGCCTGTGGAGAGATGCCCAGACTAAACCATGCTCTTTCAAGCCACCAGCCATCTGAACACAGTGGGCACTCAGGAAAACTGGGTAGAATGAATGAATGGATGGATGGATAAATGAATGAATGGATGAATGAATGAAGCCATTGACATGAACACATGGCATCTGACTGTCTCCCTGTGTGCTCAAGTTTCATTCTGATACATTTCTCGCTAAATTCATCTCTGAGACAGAGGATTTTAACCCAGGTTGCTAGACTGCTCTCCCCAAGATGTGGCAGCCCGCACCCGCCAGCAACACCTGTGACACTTCTCTTACCAGGTTTCCAAATTTTGCTAAACTGCTGGCTAAAGGAATAGCATCTCCCTGGGGTTAGCCTCCCGTGCACGGATTTGTTTTTCCCCCTCTTGGCCACTGCCTGTTCCTGGTCTATGCCCATTCCACTGGCTGCACTGTCTGTTCCTGCCCCCTGGCCAGAGGCCCTTATGTGTCATGACAGAAACGTTGTCTGTCATATGCATAGTATTCTCTCCCCGTCCACTCTGGGCCTCGTGACTATGGGGGTGACATCATGGAGATCACAGTGCATTTTGGACTCTGTCACCATCCTCTCTTGTTCATTCGGGGATACGGTCGCCATGAGCTCAACAGAGCAAAAGAGAGGGAGGGAGCCCACCTGTGTCCGCCAGGTGCTGGGATGGGTCCAGGCGGTTCCAGCTTGATTCGGCACCTGTGACTGGCGGTCGTACCCACGACGAAATCTGTTTAATTGACCAAACATAGAGGAAGTTGATCGTTTAAATGATATACTTAGAATTCATCTGAGTGGGAAAGCTGAGAACAGTCAAAGAAGCTAATTTAAAAAAAAAAAAAAAGCACCTAATCCCCTGAATTCTAATCACGCCGAGTGCTTATCTCTCCCGCCAGACGTGGGGCAGCGCCTTGCGGCATCTCACGCGGCACTGTCTTCTCTCTTGCAGCACTCCCTACAAAGTGAGACCTGTGGCCATCAAGCAGCTCTCTGGTAAGGCCTTGCTGTCGTTTTTTAAATTCAAAGAAGGAAAAAGAAATCTTGAGCCTGCCTCTGTGATAAAATATATATTGGTTAACCATCGGAATCTAAGCATTCGAAATATTATTAGTGAAGCATTCATTTGAAGCGTTTAACTGTACATTATAAGCATTTGAATCTGCATTGGAAGCTTGTTACCACTGCAGAATCCAAAACCGTGGACTACTGTTTGTGCTACTGTAAGGGCTCTGCCATGACAGCCCCGGCCCCATCCCAGGGACTTTGCAGGTGCAGGACGGCATGCACCCTGCTCCTCCTGCCTCCCCGCTCCACTGCGAGTTGCCAAGGCAGGTGTTTGTCACCCTTGGGTTGCCTTGGGGTGCCTCATACAGTTGCTTGCACTGCTGTGTTAGAATCCTTCCTTCTTTCCTTCCTTTCTTCCTTCCTTCTTTCTTTCTTTCTTTCCTTTCTTGCTTTATTTTTTGTTTTATTTTTTTGAGATAGATTCTGGCTCTGTTGCCCAGGGGTGGAGTGCAGTGGTGTGACCTCGGCTCACTGCAACCTCCACCTCCCAAGTTCAAACGATTCTCCTGCCTCAGCCTCCCAAGTAGCTGGGATTACAGGTGCCCACCAGCACATCTGGCTAATTTTTTTTGTATTTTTAGTAGAGACAGGGTTTCACCATGTTTGCCAGGCTGGTCTTGAACTCCTGACCTCAGGTGACCCACCCGCCTCGGCCTCCCAAGGTGCTGGGATTACAGGCGTGAGCCACTGCGCCCAGCCTAGAATCCCTTTTCCATTTGATTTTTATCACTTTTATTTATGTATGATTTACATATAATAAAATACCATTTAAGTGCATATTCTGATGAGTTTTGAAAAATCTGTACACCCTTGTAACCATCACCAAAATCAAGACACTTACACCACCTAGAAAAGCTCTCTTTTGGCTGGGCGCGGTGGCTCAAGCCTGTAATCCCAGCACTTTGGGAGGCCGAGGCGGGTGGATCACGAGGTTGAGAGATCGAGACCATCCTGGTCAACATGGTGAAACCCCATCTCTACTAAAAATACAAAAAAAAACTGGGCACGGTGGCGCGTGCCTGTAATCCCAGCTACTCAGGAGGCTGAGGCAGGAGAATTGCCTGAACCCAGGAGGCGGAGGTTGCGGTGAGCCGAGATCGCGCCATTGCACTCCAGCCTGGGTAACAAGAGCGAAACTCCATCTCAAAAAAAAACAAAAAAGCAAAGCTCTCTTTTGCCCCTCCCAGTGTGTCTCAGGCCACAGCCGACCTGGTTTCTGGCATGGTCCATGAGATTTGCCTTTCTGAAGTTTCATATAAAAGAAATTACATGGTACTTGTATTCTTTTTTTTTTTTTGACTCGACATAATGTTCTTGAGGCCCATCCGTGTGTTGTGGGTACAGACAGTTCATTGCTTTTTATTACTAAGTGATGTCCCGTGGTGTGGGCTGTACCACAGCACATCTTCCATTCACTGTGGATGGACATTTGGGTCCTTTCCGGTCTCGGGGCTTTTGTGGGCCTTAAAGCACAAGTCCTGGTGGAAACATAGATTTGATGTCTTTTATTTCTCTTGTATAAACACCTAAGATAGCTGTGACCTTACCAACTTTTTGATACAGTGAAACCTACGCTTACCCATCTTACCTAAGGGTGGATGGAAGAGTCTGTAGAGCGATCCCCAGTCTGAGTTTGCCCGATGTTTCTCTCATGACCAGCCTGGCGTGGTGGGTTTTAGAAGGAGTATGTAGGGTGCGTGGCAGCCGTGTAGCCCCACTGGCTTCCATACTGCAGCATCACTGTCTCCTTCCCTGCTCTCCTTTGGAAGCAAGCCGCTGAGTCCAACCCACCCAAGCAGAGGAGGAAGACTGAGGTGTGCTTTCTCTGTACAGAGATTCATTCGCTCCAGCACCATTTGTTGAAAACACAGTCTTTTCTCCCACTGAATTACCCTGACCCCTTCGTGGAAAATCAGTAGGCCGTTTATGTGTGAGTCTTTTTCTGCGCTCCATATCCTACTGTGTGGATTTACATGTCTTAAAACAACAGCACCTGCCTTGACTGCTGCAGATAGACAGTAGGTCTTGAAGTCAGGTGGTATAAATTACCTCTGTTCTCTTTCCTCTTTTTCAAAAATGTTACTGTTTTTATTTTCAAATAAACTTCAGAAGCACTCTGTGAATTACTACCAGAAAAAAAGTCTGCTAGGATTTTGGCTGAAATTACATTAAACATACAGAACAATGTGGGAAGGATTAACATCTTAAGAACGTTGACACACACACACGCGTGCATGTAAAATGAGCTAACCTGAGTAGGGTGTGCGGGTCCTGCCCACTGTGTCAACTTCCTGGTTTTGATACTGTGATATTATTAGGCAAGACCTTCCCATTGAGAGAAACCTGGAGAGGGGACGGAGGACGTCTCTGCACTATTTTTGTAACTTTTTATGAGCCCATAATTATTTTAAAATGTTAAAAATTTTTAAGTGTTGCTGGCCTATGATGAGTGTTAAATGAATGTTTCATCACAGAAAAGAATGTTGAGCCTTCTGGTTCAGAAATATGGCATAGCTCTCCATTTATTTGGGTTTCCTTTTTTTTTTTTTTTTTTTTGAGACAGAGTTTTGCTCTTGTTACCCAGGCTGGAGTGCAATGGCGCGATCTCGGCTCACCGCAACCTCCGCCTCCTGGGTTCAGGCAATTCTCCTGCCTCAGCCTCCCAAGTAGCTGGGATTACAGGCACGCGCCACCACGGCCAGCTAATTTTTTTTTTGTATTTTTAGTAGAGACGGGGTTTCACCATGTTGACCGGGGTGGCCTCAATCTCTTGACCTCGTGATCCACCCGCCTCGGCCTCCCAAAGTGCTGGGATTACAGACGTGAGCCACCGCGCCCGGCCCAGGTTTCCCTTAACGTTCCGCAGTCCTGTGTTACCATTGTTAATGTGAAGATATATTGATAAATACATCACTCCTTCATGTATTTAATATTATTGTGAATGGATTTTTTTAATTTGTTTCCAGCAGTTTTTAGTTGGTAGGAATTGGCTTTTTTGGGACCTCGCTAAACTCATTTATTAGATTTCCTGTGATTCTGTAGATGATTTTCTTATACTGCTGGGCTTCTGACAAGAAATTCCTTCTGCTTTTGTCTGAAAATGTTTTTCTTTGTTGTTTTGCTTTTTGTTTACTTTGTTTCAAAGAGAGAGAGAGATAAGGTCTCTCTGTTACTCAGGCTGGAGTGCAGTGGTGCAGCCTTGACCTTCGGGGCTGAAGCAGTCCTTCCTCCTCAGCCTCCCAAAGAGCTGGGACTACAGGCACACACCACCATGCCCAGCTAATTTTTTAAGTTTTTGTAGGGACAAGGTCACACTATGTTGCCCAGGCTGGTCTGGGACTCCTAAACTCAGGCAGTCCTCCCTCCCTGGGATTCCAGGTGTGAGCCGTCATGCCCAACTGACAGTGGTTTTATTTCATCTTCAATCTGAAAGGGCATTTTTCTTGCCATATAGAATTTTAGTTTCACAGTTTTTCAGCGCTGTGAATGTGCCTTCTCATTGTGTTTTAGCTGGAGTAGCTTCTCATGAGAAGTCTGTGATGTCTTATCTTTGTTTCTCTCTGCGCAATGTGTCTTTCCCTCTGGCTACTTAGGTGTTTTCTTTATCACTGGTTTTCAGGAAGTTGGTTATGTGGCCTCGGTGTGGTTTTCTTTCAATTTAACATGCTGCGTGTTGATTGATCTTCTTCGGTCTTTGAGATCATATTTTTCCTGAAATTTGGAAGGTTTTCTGCTCTCCTCTCCCCGTTCCCCTGGGGCGCTGACTGCCTGATGGCAGACAGCCCGAGGGCGTCCCCGACCCACTGACGCTCTGTGTGCTTCTTTCCAGTCCTCTTCCTGTTTGCTTTACTTTTCTTAGACTTTTTCGTTGCTCTTCAATTCCATCGGTCCTCCCTCCTGCAGTGTCTAATCTGCTGTTGATCTCATTCAGTGACATTTTCATTTCAGATGCTGCTTCCTCATCCCCAGGGAGTTTTGTTTTCCTCCCTTTTCATATCCCATTTTCAGATCTTCCATTTATGCCTCATTGTGGTTACATGTCCTTTAAATGCCGATGCCGGCCAGGCGCGGTGGCTCACGCCTGTAATCCCAGCACTTTGTGAGGCCGAGGCGGGTGGATCACGAGGTCAAGAGATCGAGGCCACCCCAGTCAACATGGTGAAACCCTGTCTCTACTAAAAATACAAAAAATTAGCTGGGCATGGTGGCGCGTGCCTGTAATCCCAGCTACTGGGGAGGCTGAGGCAGGAGAATTGCCTGAACCCAGGAGGCGGAGGTTGTGGTGAGCCGAGATCGCACCATTGCACTCCAGCCTGGGTAACAAGAGCGAAACTCCGTCTCAAAGAAAAAAACTGCTGATGCCTCGTTATGCTTCTGTTTAATGCCATGTCTGCTAGTTCCTCCTCTCCGCCATATGCGAGTCCGTCTCTGTTGACTGATTTTTCTCCTGGCTATGGGTCATATTTTTCTGATTCTCACAATCTAGGAAATGTTGACGGAAGGCCAGTCGTAGTGAACGCATGCTTGTTCGTCATGTGCTTCTGTTTCTCCCAGTTAGAGTGTTCGGCTTTGCCTCGGCAGGCAGTTAAGTCACCTGCAAATCAGTTTCATGCCTTTGAGCCCTCCCTTTAAGCTTTGCGTGAGTTGTTCCAGAGGGCCCTTACCCCAGGGATACTTCAGTCCTACTGAGACAAGATCCCTTTGGGGACTCCCCCAAACTCCTAGCTGATCAGTAAATTCCACTCTGACTGTTTAGAGTGCCAGTGTCTGGAGAAGAGCAGAAGAGCCGGGGCCTGGAGGGTCACCGCGGGGACGCGGGCTTTTATGCCGAGTGATGTGAGCAGCTATTAGAAGGCTGTCGGCAGAGGAGTGACATCATCAGACTTACGTTTTAAATCTCGCTCAGGGTGCCGTGTAGAGATCATGAA